GTGTTTTCGATAACGGATCGCCGTGGCAGCAGCCAAAAACGATGGATACCCAATGCAGTAGGAGTCGTAAAAGCAACAGTACGAATCTGGATTTCGTTTTACTGACAATGCGCCAAATACCGGATTCCATATTTATGACTGGTCGGTCATCTTCTCCTCCGTGTTGTATCTAACACGTCGCTCACTCGTGCGTTTATCCCGTGAAAGGAGATGAACGCTAGCCGGAGCTTCAAAACAGGCTGTTGCCTCGTCTCGTTCTCACTCTTTCCTCTCGTCTCTCCTCATCTCAACCATAAATTTGTTTCGTTTATACGACCGTTTTAAAATCATTCCTCAGTCAGGTGTACACCTTGTTAAGGTCTAAACTCGTGGCCATTTAATCGCTTGAAACTTGTGGCTATATGTAGTTAGTGCCTCTAAACTCCCACCTACAGCACATTTTTTTTTCTCTTTTGCGTCGTAAATCCGTTACGAAAAATATTTATAACCTGAATATAATTAACGAAAGGAAGTAATCTTTTTTTAGTCAAAATTATTTCAGTACATATAACTTTTTAATCAATGTTAAATATGTATGTTACGTTATTTCTGAGATGGTGAAAATTATGATGAAATTATTAAGACGCGGTTTTATATCGATTTGAATGTTTAGACAATTTGTCAGTTTTCTTTTTGAGAATGTTTTTAAGGACAATGATTAAGTCGACGTTATAACTTCTATGGCAGGTATAAGCTTAGTTACCTTGAAAATTCATCTCAGATATGTCTCGATTAGTTCGGTTGGACGGTTACGATGCTGGCATGATATTCCATTACGAAGGAAATGTAAATATAATTGTAGTGTGCTGACATAACGGTAAGATAATCCGCCGAGCGGAGGCGCTGCCACTGCAATAAATCGTAATTTATGATCCCTATATACGCCCGCCGGTATCGCCGAGAAATTCAAGACTACACAGACAGAGACTAGACTTTCTTTTCTTTCTCTCTCTCTCTCTCTCTCTCTCTCTCTCTCTCTCTGTCTTTTTTTACTTGCTTTCTCTCTCTCTCTCTCTTGTCTTCGTTTCTATCCATTCTTATTCCGCTCTGTGGAACGACTAAGAAGACAGAGACTCTTGATCTGGGTCCAGCCGATGGGCATACTTACAATGTGCTGCCTTACCTCCATAATCTATCGCTGTCTCTCTCCAGTCTGCCACTCTGTCCGACTTGGATCTGCTAGTTTCTTCATCTTTATCGCCCCCGTCCGCATCGTTTATGTCTTGTTCTCTTATAGCCTTCTCTCGAGCTCTTGAGCACCAATAAATTAATTGCAGAGATTTACATATCTCGCCCGTAAACCAGTCAGCGAGACTAATGCCTGGCCTCTAATTACATAATTATATGGCATTATATTACGACGGTCAATTAATACGTACGTACAATGATTTGAAAATGCGATTTGCGATAATAAGTTACGTTTCTTCGCGATCTCATGCGATTCCACGCAAAATGTCATGCTTCAAATCACGGAATACACATACGCCGCTTCGATAAGCGATCGTAATTTGCTGTTCATGAGGATGACAGTGAACGCACGTCGGTTATTACGGTCGGTATTTACGACGAGTATTCCCAATTCCAATAGCTCTTCTTGCACTTGCACGAAACGTTTCGTATGGGATATTAGTGATATTACGCATTCCACGAAACATTTCATATCGTAATGACGGCTGTAACAATACGGGAATGCGTCAGAGCGCGAACCGATATTGCCTAATGCTGCTACTCGGGCTTCGAGATTTCACTTTTCCTCCTTCGCGTAGATTTCGCAGATCGCTCTTTCGAGGGGTTCCTCGATGACTATTACTTCCTCTCAAGGACGCGTTCTCGTAGTTCTGAAGAGACATTTTTCCTCAACGGGAAGGAAACGTACGGTATAAACGAGCGGGGGTGGAATATGAGATGCGGGCAACTGATTTATTTAAGGGGCAGGCCAGACATCCGGTTTGTCGAATTACACTTTAAGAGTGCCCATAGTAGACGGACTGGCAGATACAAACAGAGATGGACGACGGGGATGAACGTGCGAGTGAGAGGCAACGACGTGGAACGAGAGCGCGTAGCTCGTCGACCCGTTAACCGTTTATCATTGCATCGACACGAGTCACGCGGTGGACCCTACCGGCCACTTAAAAAACGGCGATTCAGCCTTTAGTAGGAAGTGACGTCAGCGTTGAAGGTATAGGTGCCGTGAGCTATATCTCTCTAAACGCGACGTAAACAGCTTCACTATACAGCTTTCATCGTACGACCGAAGTTTCTCGACCGGATGATGATAATTTGATGAGAACATTCATTCCACAAAATCCTCAATAATTGTCGTTAATTGCGTTGTCATTTCACAATCTTAATACATAAAATTAACGATGTCTAATAATATCTGAGAAATTGCTTAAGAATTTCAGCGATTATCGCACGAGTTTTCGATTAATTTGACACAATCTTTCTTGAGGTTAGTCTCATTGAAATGATATCGCTCGACTTATTGTAAGCACGAATTGAAGATTATCCGCTTTGACAACCATGATCTTTCGTTTTGCGTTAGGTGCTAGTAGGAAGCGATCCGACGACGACCAATGCATTATTAATGTCCCCTTACTCGTTATCACTCTTGTATTTACTTGCTCATGTAATCTATCGGCATCCCTGAATAAATAGTCATTCAAAGATCGTGAGTAATTAATCAAATTGAAGAGTGACTTCTTATTTCATACACATTGTGACGCTTGCTTGAGGTTTTCTGATAAGAAAATCTTTATTTAATTATTTCATGTGAAATTTTCCGAGTTATCTCGTTACATAAAAATGTACACTATATTTGTCTCCGAGCTATTTATTTCGTTCAAAAATTCAAGTTATTGGTTTTTAAAATAAACACATTTAAAAAGCTAAAAATGTTCCATATTTTTCCCTTTTCTCAAAGCTGGAAAGACACTATCTTTATTTTATAAAATATTGAAAAAAATTTTTTTTAGTCAAAGTAAATTTTATTCTTGTCTACAAGAACTCTCATAATATACAATATATTATATAAATGTTTTTATGACTTATTTATTATTCGTTATATTTTACAAAAAATTTTTTATTTAAAACTGCTCATGCTGACTTCTGTAAACCAATAAATTCATGTGACGCGTCTCTGCTCTAGCAGATCCTCTAGAGTTGACCGCGTAACGATTTCAGACGAGATATCGGAGCAGGCAATCGAGGGAGGGAGCGAGTTGGTATATTATCGCGAAGATGACGCTTATGACAGCATGTGGGAGTAGCTGTCACTCATTGTTGCCTGGCCAGACTTGATATACCCAGACATTTCGCTTCGTGATATCGAGAGATTCGCCTGCTTCAAATTCTTGCCCTTCAACCTCGCGGCGGGACGGGATCAATAAACTGTCAAATATCGTGTTTTTTTAGATGTATGTTTTACAAAAAGTACAGTTACTTTTAAAATTACTTTTAAAGTGATCGCTATTAAGATATATTATTTGAGCGGAAAAATTTATGCTCAAATCTGCTTGAAAAAACGAAGTCAATGACCCTCAGGAGGATCCGTTCGTTCATCATGTACGATCGTTATGAAGAATCATTCAATGAGTGCTCCCATCCCGCTGCGCCGTGGCTGTAATAACACTAATAACACTTCGGAATACGTTAGCGAGAATCAACGAATTGCCTTAGATTGATCTACGATTTGTTATTTGTATACTGCCAAGTAATTTGTGCCAAGGGAGAAAGTTGGTTGAACTCATTGATGTTTTTCTTCCTTTGTTATCTTATGAAAAATTGTATGCATGCACATTCTTAAACAATTTGAACAATTTCTTATTTGTTTCGTTCATCGGTCATTTATATGTTATAACTGTAGTCACGTATTTTTACGTACAGTGCTTTGTGCATTGCCGTCGAACTGATTCGTAAAACAAACTTACGTTCCGTGCGCGAAAGTAATTCCGCGCGTGTCCCGACGCAGATCCGTAGACGTCTCGTTTCTTTCCTCCTACGGCGGGAGATTCTCTACGAGCGTCATTATCACACGGCTACACCTACGGAATAAACGATTGAATATTTACGGCAGACATTCGTCGCGCACGCGGCTTCTCCCAGTAAATCCGTTGATTCGTAAGTCGTGCGCGTCTTGTCGGGCTCCCCCGAATCATTTAAGTATGCCGGCAGCATTTTCGTGGAGAGATACGTGTGCTCCGTCTTTAATCGAGATCGAAATCGGCTTGACGCACGCGTGGATCATCAATGGTCAGTGTACAGGGTATACGCGACAAATTGCGAAATTTTTTTTGAGAATCATAATTCGGAAAGAGTACATTAAAGATCATTAAAAATTAACGAGACGTTCTAATGTTGCATCATACATTAATTTGGTAAATATATATTTCGTGGAATCATATGAAATTAATGTTATTTTTTTTAGTACATACACCAAAATACAGTATATTGTAAATGTCCATTAATTTTAATTTTGTCTTATTCAAAAAGTCGAATACTTTATCAATCAAATCAATCACGTTATTTTTACATCATGTTCATTATTGTTTGTATAATATATGCGATTAAAAGGAAAACCCAGAGTATATGTACTTGCGTGTTCAGCATAGACAACGAAAAAATTTTCGACGTACGTTAGCGTGACATGCGTTTCACAAGCTAGAAATTTTTATTTACATGAAACAAAACTATTGAAAATGAAAATAATATATAAAAAAGCGATATCAACGTTTTGTAACAGACTGTGATTGATTTTCAAACGTCAACATTTTTGAAATTGTCTAGTTGAACTCGAGACCGATGTGACGCGCATGTAGTTAATATTAAGAAAGAGAAAGATAAAGTACGAGAAATCTACGAAATAAATTTGTAAACGTAGATGTAAAAATGCGCGCGCGCAAAGGAGAAAAAATATAAAGATGTAAAAAAATTAATATACAATCTTTTCTGTATTTCAGAGGCCGCCTTCCTCGTCGCTTTCGTATCCCGGCGCGGGTGCTAACGATGACGCCCGTAGCCCCGGAAGTGGTGGTACACCTGGACCTCTCAGCCAGCAAGCGCCAGCCAGCTTGGACTCATCGGACCCAGGTAAATTTGATCATTGTAAAGGAGAAATACGTAACATGGTGTTAAACTTAATTCCTGCCGCTCGCTACTAGAGGGTGCTGGCTC